GAGAGAGAGAGAGAGAGAGAGAGAGAGAGAGAGAGAGAGAGAGAGAGAGAGAGAGGAGGAGGAGGAGGAGGAGGAGGAGAAGGAGAAGGAGAACAGTAAGATCAGGGGATGAGCATTGACCTGCACAGAGTAGTTGCTTGCGAGCTGCAGGATGTCTTTGTCAACCAGCTCCTTCATCAATGAGTCCATCGTCCTATCTGGCGTTAAGTCCTTGGGTCCCTTCTTGCCCTTCTTGCCCTGTATGAGGAGAAGAGGGGAAGTGGAGGAGGAGGGGAGGAGGAGGAGGAGGAGGAGGAGGAGAAGGAGAGAGAGAGAGGAGAGAGAGGAGGAGGAGGAACGAACATCAGAGGCGGCAGAAACACCTGACAGCCCTTACCTTCTTCCCTTTCTTCCCTTTCTTTCCCTTCTTCTTCCCCTTCTTTCCCTTCTTTCCCTTCTCCACAGCCGCTTTGAGATTCTCCAGCTCGTTCCTCATAACCTCGTCTACCTCCTTCATCCGGATCTCCTCCCTCACTCCAGGTCGCAGCGCGTCACGAATCAGCTCCGCGTCGTACTTCTGTGCGAAGTTCTGCGACTCGTCCCTATCCTGCCACACCTGACAGAACTTCTCCGTGCATGACTGCATCTTCAGCACAAAGTCGCTGATCGGCAGCTCCTGAGGCCCCTCGTCCTCCGCCTCCTCCTCCCCCTTCTTCCCCTTCCCTTTGTCGTCCTTCTTCTTGTCGTCTTTCCCTCCCTTCCCATCCTTCTCATCTCCACCCTCCTCGTCCTCTTCCACCACGGGAGGAGGGTCGAAGATGAAGAGCGAACCTCCATCCTCCTCGTCAGGGTAGTCGGGGAAAGCCTCGTTTTGCTCCCTGTAGGCAACAAACCACTGGCGGATCTTGTCCATCATCTGCTCCCTCATATCGACGCCCTCGTCATCGTAGATCTTTCTCCTGATGCTCACTAGCGCTTCCTCGTACTCGTCCTTGTTCTGAGCCTGAATGATCTTCCTCCTGCTTCTGATGTCCGCCTGCCGCGAGACGGGGTCCAGCTCCCTCGGCTTCTGCTCGGGCTCCTTCATTCCGATGAAGACCAGCTCCTCCTCCCTCATCAGACGCGCTTGCTTCAGCGTCTTGAACCCTCGGAACAACTTCTGGATCACCACCGCTGCTTGATCAGGGTCTGTCTCGGGCTGACCGATCTCCCGCAATTTTCTCTCCAGCTCTTCCTGCCTCACAATCTCCTTCATGAACTTCGCCCTTTGCTTCCCCTGCCTCCCTCGCTCGTTCACTTGGATGATTCTGATGGCATCCTCCAACGAGAACCCGGCCTCGGGGGGCTCCGGCTCGACCTCCTTGTCCGCATCCCTGGCAGCGATTAGGGTAGCAACCAGCTTCTCCCTCATGTCCAGGTCCTTCTTCCTCTCGTCCACGAAGTAGCGGGAACGGGCAGCTCCAACGTCTCAGGGATCAGCTTCAGGTCGACGAGGATGTCGTCGAAGCTGATGAACTTCAGGCCCGAGAGCTGCACCAGGTACTCCTTGATCTCCAGCATCCTGCCCATCACCGCCTCCAGCACCTCCTTGATGTCTATCCTCTTCTGCGGGTGCACGTGCTGATCGTAGCAGTCCTCCAGGTTCTTGAAGATTTGAACATACTTGATGTACAGGTAGGAGAAATGCTGGAAAGCCTCTTCCTCGTCCTGATCCTGAGGTGGATCCAGCTCGAGCATGTCGAGCAGATCACGCATGGTCTCCCTCCACAGCACATCATAGGTGACGTTTGCCATGTCGTCCCGCTCCTCTCCCTCTCCTCCAGTCTGCATGGTAAGATAGTCAGAGCTCTGTCCAGTCCAACCACCTCCCTTCACTCAAACTATCCTCCTTGGTTGCAGCTGCTTGCTCGATCCCCCTCCAACCTCCACTAGCTGCTTCTCCATGTCATGATCTCATCTGCTCACTCCCTCCTTCCCTCCTCGTCCCTCCTTCCTCCTCCTCTCTTCCTCCTCCTGCTCCCTCTCTTCCTCCTCCTCCTCCCTTCCTCCTCCTCCTCCTCTCCTCCTCCTCCCTTCCTCCTCCTCCTCTCTTCCTCCTCCTCTCCTCTCCTCCTCCTCCCTTCCTCCTCCTCCTCTCTTCCTCCTCCTCTCCTTCTCCTGCTCTCTTCCTCCTCCTCTTCTCCTCCTCCTCCTCCTCTCTTCCTCCTCCTCCTCTCCTCCTCCTCCTCTCTTCCTTCTCCTCCTCTCCTCTCCTCCTCTCCTCTCCTCCTCTCCTCTCCTCCTCTCCTCCTCCTCCTCTCCTCCTCTCCTCCTCCTCCTCTCTGCCTCCTCCTCTCTCCATTCCTCCCCCGCCACCTCCCTGCCTCTTCCTCTTCGACTTCCCGCCATCCTCAACATCCTCGCATGTCCGTTGGTCCGTTTCTACGTTACGACAGCTGATTATCCGTTACATCGAGGCTCCCGGGACTCACAGAATTTTTAACCGTGAGTGCCAGCCGCTGAGTGCATCACTGGCCGTCACCAAGCCGGGCGGGGCCCGGCCCGGCCCGCCGCCCGGGGCCGGGGCCGGGTGATATGGCGCGGCGGCGACAACGACCGGTGTGAGTGAGTCAACTTCACAAGGAGAGCGACTTTCAGTCATCGGAGCGAGGGGGCCCGGGCCCGGGCAGAACAGGCAGGTTGTCATCAAGTCTGTTGTATAGCAGCAGGATGCCAAAGTCCGCCCTCTAAGTGATCCCTTCCCTCCATCTCCCCGAACCTTCTCATCCCCTCCACCTCCACGTACGGCAACTGCTCGTAGTAATGGACCCCCCCCCATAGCTGACCGCAGCCCTCCTCCTCAGTCACCCGCACCCGCCGCACAGCATGCCTGCTTTGCTGCGTCAGACTCCAATCAAAGCGTCTCCTCCCCCTCCCCATCCCCCCTCCCGCATCCTCCTCCTCGTCCTCCTGCTGATTCTTTCCTCGTCCTCGTCATCGTCCTCGTCCTCTTCCTCATCCTCGTCCTTCTCCTCACCTCTCATCCTCTGCCGTGAGAGACTTGGCCGCACGCTTGTCACGCATGCTAATGAATTCTGGGCGAATGATTTCGACGGTGGCCTGCGAGAGAGATCATGAGAGGAGGAGAGAGGAGAGGAGAGGAGAGGAGAGGAGAGGAGGGGAGAGGAGAGGAGAGGAGAGGATGAGAAGTTACCTTTTGCTTCCCTCGTGTTCTCCGCTGCTTTGGCTTTGTGATCCTGCGGAGAGTAAGAAAAAGAACCACAAGGCCTCAGCTTCTACCCTGGCTGCAGGAATAGCTCATCGCTTCCTGAGATGCTTGAGCTGTCCAAGACAGTCAGTCGAACTGTCAATTCGACGAGGAGGAGGAGGAGGAGGAGGAGGAGGAGGAGGAGGAGGAGGAGGAGGTCCAGGCAGCAAGGGCTTACATTGCATCTGACAGGTTCGGTGACTTCGTCCTAGCAAGATCTGCATCCTCAGAGCTGGGAAATTCTCGTCAAGGGCCTCGAGGGGGGGGGGCAGGAGGAAAAGAAGTTGCTGTTACCTCTCCGAGGAGCTCGCCGTTACTTTCTTGCTCGCTCGTAGGTCGACGTGATGAGCCTGGTATGAGTCAGGACTTCTTCCTCCTCTTGCTCCGTCCTCTTGCCCCGTCCTCTTGCCCCGTCTTCTTCCTCCCTCTCCTTCCTCCCTCCCCTTCCTCCCTCCTCATCCTCCCTCAGTCGCCAACCTCCCCCGTCCCTCCATCCCCTCCCCATCTCCTTCTCCATCCTTCCTCTTCCTCCTGCTTCACCTGCTTGTGGCCCTTGCAGAATCTCGCCTTGAGTTCCTCCGCCTCACCGTAAGAGGGAACGCGATCGCACCTGCGGAAAGAAGTCACAGCAAAGTGACGCAAGGGAGGAGCAGAGGAAGGAAGAGCTGACTGATGGAGACAGAGAGGAGAGCAAGGATGATGTCAACGAGGAACAGGGGAAGGGAGCAGCGGGAGGAAGGGCACCAGGTACCCTACCTCATGATATGTTGGCAAGTCGGCTTGAAGTGAGATCCAGGAGGAGGCAGAACAGTCGAGTACACCTGCTCCTCTCCCTTGTGCAGCGCACAGTGCTGTATCCTCCATGTTAGCATCGCAGGAGGGCAGGAGGGTCAGACACAGACCGAGGGAGGGGCTCCGGAGTCCCCAAAGATCGGCTTCCTCGAGCATCCTTGCAGGAACTCGCACCTGGACAACTCTCACTCTCATTGTCCTCGTCCTCTCCCCAACCCCCGTTCCTCACTCCCATACCCTCCCTTCCCATCCTCCCTCGCCCTCTCCTCCCATCGTACCTTGGACGTCTCATATTTACATCCCCCATGCGCCTGTGCGCCCTGCACCGCACGGCTCTGCCTCCGCCGCTGCCATGATCAACCCCCCAGTCTGCTCGACGAGAGCAATGTGAACACCTACAGGACCGTCAGTGCCATCTTCCTCCTCCTCCTCCTCGTCCCCCTCTTCACCCTTGTCCTCCTTCACCTTCACCCCCCCTCCCCCTCGTTCTCCATCGCCTCCTCCGTCGCCCTTCCTCACCTATTGCAGAGTACCACACACTTTCGCTCGAGGTTTATATCCCCACGTAAACAGGACGCACAGAAGAGGCTCTCCCATCCTTCCCTGCACTCTGCGTCAGCTCCTCTTGCCTTCTCCCTCCTCCTCGCATCCTCCCCTTCTCCCCAAGGTCCCCCCTCTCCTTCCCCCTCCTCCTCCTCCTCTACCGCAAGTTTGTTGGCTCCCCGATCGTTGCAGCGAGCCCGAAGGCCACATGCTTACACCGGCAGGACGAGCAGCACGACGACCCCTTCAGTGTCACCCAGCTCTGGTGCGACTCCTTCCCCTCCCCCTCGCTGCTCTCGTGCAACAAAACCTGCTGAAGTCTCAGCAACAGGACAGAACAACAGGAGGGAGGAAGAGACAGCTGCGAGGGTGGAGGAGGGAGCAAGGGTGGGAGGAGCAGTTTGGACGGGAGACAGACCTGATGTTGGATTTCACCAGGGCCCTCAGGAGCCGAGGGAAAGAAGGAACAGTCCACCGAGCTGCTGGGGAGAGCAGGAGACTCCTGGGCACACGTGAGGGGAAGAGAATGGCGACGTACTTTCATTCCATACCGTTCGCTCGACAGCAGTCGGAGACAGGGAGAGGAGGGAGGGAGATAGCCCTAGCAAGTCGCTTCCCTGCCCAGCCTTCATGACAGTGAGAGGCTTGAGTAATGGAACAAGCTTCTCACCTCCTGGTTTCCCTGCTCGACAGCTTCTTCTTTGGACTGCTCTCTGTCCACCCCCAAGCGTGCATGCTCCGCGTTATCCGTCGCCTCTGCAGGAGTCTCCTCATTCCCGATGCTTGATCCTGAGCTGTTCAACACGGAGACGCAGAGCTTGGGAGGCTGCAGCCGGTCCTCTCCCCACTCGATCACACCGGCAAAACTGCATCGGGGAGAGTTCCTTGCAGCCTGCGAGGATAATGAGAACGGCAGGATGGAGAGAAGACGAGTGACGAGAAGGAGGACGGAAGGAGAAGGAGAAGGGGAGAGAGGAAGCGAGCGAGCGAACGAGGGAAGGGAAGGGAAGGGAAGGGAAGGGAAGGTATGATAGTAGAAGTCAATGTTGCAAAGAGGCAAGGAGATTCACCACGGTCGTTCCCAGGCATGCTGAAGCAGGCGCATTGCCGATCTCTGGTCTGATCTCCCAGAACAAGCAAGAGAAGACGAGAAGGAAGAGCTGAGCGATGAGCGAGCTCCCGCGCGAGAGATTGAGCGGCATGTCAGCAAGGCATGCACGGCTTCAGCTCAGCAACTCTGCTGACACCCCAGATTCGTCCGGCTTCCTGATGATGTGAAGTCTGTTCCTTCACTCCTTGTGTCTTTATGTGAGTCGTTCTCGTCCTTCAGTCGCCTTTCACTTTCCTGCTGCAGCTGTCAGCCATTCTTGCGAATGACTTATCCAAGTAAAATATGGCACTCAACCAACTGTTGTCTATTCCAATACGTTTTGTCCTAGTCAACAAACACTTTCACTTCACTTTTGTTTTTCCTCTTCATGACAATCAAGCACATCTCTTTCCTTCATATCTCATCTTCTATCATCGCAACTATTCACATCCTTCTTCTCAAAGTCTCATCATATCTCCCTTCACCTCATACCTGTTTGACCCTTCCATGTCCTCTTCTCCTCGTCCTTCTCCTCTGATCTCATCTCTCTTCCTCTCCACTCCTCTCCTTTCCTCCTCCTCTCCTCCTCCTCCCCTCCTCCTCCCCTCCTCCTCCCTCCTCCTCTTCGCCCTGTTCCAACTGCGAGGCCATCTCATATCGACTGGAGGCCGATCAAGACTCAAGGACCCCTCCTCTACCGCTCGTGGGTCCCAAGTACCCCTACCCCCAATATTCCATAAAATTACCCACCATTTTGTCTCTCCATTTCAGATTTTTGAACCCTACCCCACCCCACCCCCATCATTCCCCACACATGCTACATTCCCATTAATTCCCCTCATACCGTACGTGACCGTACGGTCCAACTTTGCCGGGCCTACCGTTGAACTTCCGAGCAGCGCCGGGCTATCATTAGAACTCAACACAATCAGGAGAGTCGAGGAAGGCTGCTAAGTTTGGAGGACAGCAGTCGGCAGGATTGGGTTTGGTTCTCGCTGTCCGAGTTTTCTCTTCTCCGAGCGAGTCAGGCTCGTCGTTTGGCCAGCCTGTGCGACAGACGCCCGGTGTCAGCCGGGGTCAGACTCAACGTTATGATTTTTAATTTAACTTTCAGTCAGTGACTCTGACGGAATACAAGTTTGTTAGACTTGTACTAGTCCAAAGTCACGCAGATATCACATCGACCTTAGTTGTAACAAGACAGTTTTTGCTCAAGACCGAGTTTAATGCACACAAACCAGAATTGAGGAGCACATGAGAGATAGACTGTATGCTAGGATGTGAAACCCAAGCATCCAGACATGAGAGGACCTTAGCAAGACGGCTAGGAAAGACCCCCTCTTCGTCCCATACGCTACATTGGCCGCCTGCCACGGTAAGTCGTCTTGGTTTACAGGAGAGTTTTTGTTAACTCGGCGCTATCTGACTGGCACGGCTGGCATACGTTCCATCCTCCCCCCGAGTTTCTGAAATAGTACGTTACATCGGACGTCAGAAAGTCACTCAACCAAGAGAATGTCAGCAGATCCAAGTCAAGATACGATGATACAACGTCAAGTTCACAGTCATGCTGAGTGGGCAATAACCATTCAAGGATTGTCCATTCTGAAGAAGATTTTCATGCAGGGCTATTAGATGTGCAGTGCAGAGATAAGGGAGATGCCTGGCGAGCTGATGCAATGACGAGAGAAGGAGGATAAGATAAGAGAGTCTGAGGAGAGAACTTCGGAGTTCAGATAACAGAGAGAGAGAGAGAGAGAGAGCGTGCCCGCCGGCATTTGAAGACCAAAAGATAAATTTTGAACCGTAAAGAACTTGTGACCAGAGATTGCTGCCGCGAGATTGGAACATCCGTTTCAAGGCATCTGAAGATTGTTGTGCAGTAGTACCTTGTTCGCCGATCCAGAAGTAGCTCCAGTTATGCATGCCACAGCCTAGCTCCATGACATGAAAACTTCCGCCAGATCTCCTGGTAGTTCCATTTGATCCTACTCAAAGATCAAGAAGATTAAAATCGAATCAGCTTCAAGTGCGTTTCCACACGGTTAAGCAGATATTCGACCGACCAATCTGGCTGGGGAAGGCTTGTTTTTCCAATTCGAAGATCAATCAAACAAATTGAGGCTGAGATGAGAGGCCTAAACAACTTGCGGCTAGAAAGAGAGCCTGATTGAAGAGAGGAGTCATCCGAATGTGTAAAGCTTGATAGAATTTGCATGAATTTTCAACAGCAACGGGAAAACAATACCAAGAAAGAAAAAACTCCAGTAAACAATTCAACTAACCAAATATAAGATCAACATGATTGAGCATGTAATCGAGGCTCATAACCGACGGAATACAAGTTTGTTAGACTTGTACTAGTCCAAAGTCACGCAGATATCACATCGACCTTAGTTGTAACAAGACAGTTTTTGCTCAAGACCGAGTTTAATGCACACAAAACCAGAATTGAGGAGCACATGAGAGATAGACTGTATGCTAGGATGTGAAACCCAAGCATCCAGACATGAGAGGACCTTAGCAAGACGGCTAGGAAAGACCCCCTCTTCGTCCTCAGACTCAGCTGAGTCACCACAAAGCACAAGCTGAGGAGCGTCCGATGTGCCAACCTGAAATAAGCGATGATCCGAGACCGGGAGGGGCGGGGAGGAAGCCTGACTTGAAGGGATGGTTGGAGGGGCGGGGAGGGGAAGCCTGCCATACACGGCTGGCGAACAATTTGCGGGAGGGGTTGTGACTCGGAGGATCCCGGCCGACTCGGGCCAGTGCCACGGTAAAACTTGATATCTCAAAAACAACTTTTATGTAATTACTCAAGAATCATTTCTGGTACAAAAATTCAAACCAGACAGCCCACCCCCATCAACAAAAAGGTACTATCCAATTGATGAATACAAATAAGGTACCGTGAGCTGCCTTTTCTTCAAGTTTCACTGCGTCAGTCAATAAACTTTTAGTCAATAGGCCGGGGCTGAGGCGCCGGGCAGCACTCGGAGGTGCAGGGGGCACTCACGGTGACATGACTGGCAGGGCCGCCCCCCGGGCAGCACGGCGGCACTCGCTCGGAGGCCCGGCAGCTTACCCCGGCCGGGCCCGGCCTGAGCCGCTGAGGCCCCGGCACTGCAGCCGCTGGCCCGGCAGCAGGCCCGGCACTGCAGCTGGCCCGGCAGCTTGTCCGTTGGTTTGAGTGGGGAGGAGGCTGGGCAAAAGTTCTCTTTGTGTCCATGGCAGTGGATGGAGATGAAGGGGACGGGGAAGGAGAGACGATGGCTGGCAGGAGGAAGGTAGAGGGCTGGCAGGAGGAAGGTAGAGGGCTGGCAGGAGGAAGGTAGAGGGCTGGCAGGAGGAAGGTAGAGGGCTGGCAGGAGGAAGGTAGAGGGCTGGCAGGAGGAAGGTAGTGATGCGTCAGACGATGCCGAGAGAGCATGAGACAGGGATCACAACAAAGATGCAGCCAGAAACTTGCCAGAGCTAGAAGTGAGCAGGAGCTGGACCACGAGCCGACGGTGTAGCAAGAGGAACGCGATGAAGGTCTACGTCAGAAATGCTCACAAGAGGATCGAGACCAAGTATCAGGATTGGGAGACAGTAGTCGAAGAGCGAGATCGCACGGCGAGCCGGGCAACAGCATTTCAGATCGAGGACGCCCTGGACTCTCAAGACGTCCAGTATGTGCACCTGTCAAGGATGGGACAGTTGGATATCAATCAGCTGAACTCGTTGAAGTCGCTGAGATTCCTTGACCTGAGTGAAAATGGCATCAGACGACTTCCGGACATGCAGTTTTGGTCTTCCCTGCCGCTGCTACAGGTGCTCCTCCTCCATCAAAACAGGCTGGAGAAAGTTTCGGCCTTGGCTGGGCTAGCAGGCAGTGTGAGGCTGCGGTCGCTGACGGCATTCCAGAACCCTGTGGCTCAGAGTCCTTCTTATCGTCCCTTCCTCCTCTCTCTCTGTCCTTCCATCCTCTGCCTCGACGACGAAGTCAAGAACGACAACGATTTCCTGCCCGCGGTAATGCATAGTTTCGATTTGTTTTCTTTTCTCAGGATGTCACAGGGTCACAAGCTGTTTTCGAGGATTCAGAGCTACATGGACGAACACTCTGCAATGATAGCAAGAGAGGAGAAAGCGAGGGAGGAGGTCAGCTCCTCCGAGCTTGTCTCTTCCTTCCACCGCCACATGCACGTCTTGTACAGCAGCTACTCGCGATGTCGACCGTACCTTGTGATCCAGCGAGTCTTCCGAGGGCATGTTGGGAGGAAGCACTTCTCGAGGATATCGAGGCGAGTCAGGCCTTGTGTGGTGAAGCTGCAGAAGTTCTTGATGCGAAGGTGAGGAGACGGAGACAACATTGAAAGATGCTGGTTCGTTCGTCTAGATGAAACGAGTCGGTGGAGAGATTTGTTTGCTGATATCATAAGTCCATGAGTTGAAGTTGGAGGTCGACAACTAGCAGATAGAAATGTCTTATCCATCATCAGTTCACATCTTTGCGTCTATTCACCATTTTTGCGGTGCAGGTACATGAGGACCTTTGCACTCCTGCACTTCAAGCGATTGTTGGCAGAAGAGGAAGAGACTTTCTTGAATCTGCAAAGCGGGAAAGGGAGGTTGGAGGAATCTGAGACGGGAGGACGCAGCATCTTCATCCTTCCTTCGAGCAAGAGATCTTGCCTCGAACTGCTGAAAGTTTGGACCCAGCTTCTGTTCGTGGAGAACGCTCCTCGAGTCACGAGGACGGAGATCGCGTGCTGCCGCGAGCCTCCTCCTCCTCCTCCTGGGGACTCGTCGAGCCTTTCTCTGAGAGGGATCGTGCTGAGGAAGAGGAAGAGGTGCGGGCTGGAGGCAGTGCAAGCTTCGTTCTCACGCTGACCGCCGTCTGCAGGAAGTGCGATATGCTCGATGCCATCAAGCTCAGGGCCGACCCGTCGATCTTGCAAGTGATCGCCTTCAACGTCATTCGCAGAAGGGGTTACAAGTGCAACAGCGGAGAGAGGAGGGTCTGGGAGGAGGAGGAGGAGGAGGAGGAGGAGGAGAGGGGGAGAGAGGCAGGGAAAGAAGGAGGGGGAGGAGCGATAGGTCTCTGGGGTTCTCCTTTACTCCTCATCAACTTCGACTCACCGGACAACATGAGGAGATTTTGTGCATGGGTGGCCTACTTCAACCAGAACCTTCACAAGGTCGCAGTGCTGTTTCATTTCCTCCTCTCTTCTTAATCCTCTTACGTTTCCTCCTCCGCCCGTTCCGCTCACATCAACTCCTCCTCTTTCTCCCTCCACCTGCTGGTTATCCTCTCCTCTGTGCTCTTTCCTCTTCCACAATCCATCTCCCTCCTTCCTTCTGCCTTTCCTCCCTCTCTTCCTCCTCCGCGTTGTTCACTCTGACTCTTCCCTTCCAGGTGCACGCGACGAGCAGGAGCATCGTTCTGCTCCATCCGGATGCAGTCGACCGGATCCTTGCCGCCTGCTCCATCCAGCGGATCTGGCGATCATGGAGGTAGAGGAAGGACCTTTAAATTTCATCCTCTCCCTTCCCACTGACCTCTTGCAGGTGCCGCTCTACCATGGTTCCTACTCTGGCTACTTCGCTCCTCCGCCTCCGGTCTGCTCGTCTCCTGCAGCAGTAAGAGGAGGCAGCTTGCCTTCGATGTCCTGGTGACGATGCCCCGAGGTGGTGGCGATGGAGGATGTTGCGGCTGCGGACGCGGCTGCTGGCAGATATAAAGAGAAGGACAGCGAGACTGAGCAGCGAGACTCTCTTCATCGTCTATCCGAACCTGCAAACGAAGCTGCACAAGTGCTCAGGTCCTCTTGCTTCTCCTCCTGACCACCTCCTGCTCCTTCACCCTTCTGATGTTCTCTTCCCTCGATCCCCTGCTCTTCTGCCTTATCATCTCCTCCCTCAGCCATCTCCTCCCGGTCCTATCCTCTCCCTTCTGCCACTTTCCCAACCTGAACTTTGCTCCTAACGAAAGAAATATCTGCAGCTGCCCCAAAGATTCTCAGAGAATCTCGTTTGAAGATGTACTTCGATCGAGATCATCATGTACTGCTCACTTACCTCCTCTCCTCCCTGTTTGCTTCCTCCTCCTCTCTTGGTTTCCCCCTCCTCTCCTTCTGCCCTGTTTTGCTTCAGGTTCTGTATGCTTCAGATCCTAGCTTTGTTTCACTTGTTTCTATCCTCCTCCTCCTCCTGCCCCTGCTCCTGCTTCTCCTGCTCCTGCTCCTCCTGCTTCTCCTGCTCCTGCCCCTGCCCCTGCTCCTGCCCCTGCCCCTGCTCGATTCCGTCTTCGAAGCCAATCGTGATCATCATATTCAGATCTGCCTCCATCCTGGGGAGGGTACCGGATCACGACTCCTTCCCACATGGCTGGAGCTGGAGAAGGAGGCAGCGCAAACTGATGGATCGTTTGCTCCCGACGTTCAGGCATACCTGCAGCACCCCAAGGAACTTTTGCAGGTCCGCCCCCCCCCTCACCTTCCTCGTGCTCCACTCCTTGTTTCTTTCTTCACCTCCTCTCTGACTATCTTCAATGTGCCATTCCTC